CAACTTTTTCCTTTTGCATGTAAGTCTTGTTTTCATGGCACCAAATCATTGAAAAACTATTTGCCTCCTGTTTAACTGTCATGGCGTCCATGTTGAAAATCAGCTGATTGTAAATAGGAGTTTATGTCTTGAGTTTAAATTCTTGCATTGGCCTGCATGTCTGTCTGTATAGCAGTGTCCTCTGTTTTCATCACCATAGCTTTGTGATAAAATTTGAACTAAGGAAGGATGAATCCTCCAACTTCGTTCTCCTTTTTCAAGACTGTTCTGTTTGTGCTATTCTAGGTCTTTTTGCCTTTCCTTATGATCTGTAGGATCAGTCTGTCAGTTTCTGTGAAAGTAGCAGCTAGGACTCTGATAAGGGTTATGCTGAATCTGGGTTATGCTGAATAAGGGTTAAGCTGTTAAGTGAGCAGGGGAGCATTGCCATCTTAAACCATACTAAGTCTTCTGACCCCCTATTATGTCATGTATTTCTATTTTTTAGATCTTCTTTAATTTCTCTAAACATGCTTTGTAATTTTTAGTTTCAGTTTTACCCTTCTTTTGTTAAATTTTGTTCCTAAGTAGTTTATTCTTTTTGATGCTCTTGTAAATGGAATTGTTTTCTAATAATTGCATTTTTAGTTTGCCCTCATTGCCACTGTACTGAAATACAATGGATTTGTGTGTGTTGATCTTGTTTACCGTAATCTTGATGGACTCATTTATTAGTTCCTGTAGAATTTTTTTAGCAGTTTCCCAGGGATTTTCTAGATATAGGATCATGCCATCTAATAGAGAAGCTTTGCTTCTTCCTTCCTAATGTGGATGCTGTTTAATTTTCTTAATTAATTGCTCTGCTCACTAGTTTGGGACCATTTCCATTTTTTTTTTCCTAACATAACCATTTTTTCTGTTGTGACTTTTGTCTTGTGTAAGTGCTGTTTATATAAGAAAGATGCTCTGTTACATGTATGTTGCAAATGCCCACACTCCTTTGTTCTGCTGTTGATTAGGAATCTTAAGCTGTGTGTCAGTCCTGTCTGTGGGTTCCCTCTCTATCTGTGGGTGTTGGGCGGGCCAGCCACCTCTCCAAGCTTGGTTGCTCATGTTAAAATGATATAATGACTGTTCTCCTCTGAAGACAGTTGAGTGCCACATGAGGGCAGGAATTGGGGTCCTTCTTGACCAGATGTTTCTATCAGACCTGCATTGCTATTGTTAACGTGACACCAACAGTGGACATCTCAGACAGGGAAGCCCAAATCCTCCCAGACGTGTGGTTTACATGACAGCCGTGGCCTAGCACACTTCCACCCCATCACCCTCAGCATGTCATCCAGCCTTGCTGTGCTTCAGTTTCCCCATCTGTGAGGTGGAGATGGGTGGTCTTCTCATATGGCTGAAATGTAGTGAACCGTCCATTAGGTGCCCAGTGTTGCTTACGTTCTTCCAACGGTCAGTCCCCACTCCCTGCTAGGTACACAAGCCGCAAGGACACCCCAGGCACAGACTCCTCCCTCCAGCCTTTTAGCCTGATGAGGCACCTGCCAGGTTCTTGGTAGGGTGGGGCAAAGGCGTGGACTACATGCAGCTTGGCCAACCTCACCCAAATGATGTCTCTGACTGTCGCTGCCCCACACCAAGGGTCTTGGGGGCAGCCTTGGCCTCCTTGAGGGCAGAATGCAGGACCAAGGCTGAAGCCTAGCTCTCACTGCCCTGTTAACACCCTCACCCTAAGTGGGGCAGGGCCAGCAGGTTCATGCAGGGGGCGGCCTGACCTTCTTGAGCCTCGATTTCCCCTCTGGACAGGGCTGGTTGTGCGCAGACATGGAGGTCTGTCACGAGGTATGTGAGTGCATGTGTGTGACCCTCCTGAGTGAGCGCCATGGCCCTTTGGGCAGTCGCAGGCATGCTCTGCCCCCACAACCTGTATGACCCCGTGTCCCATGCATTCCGCCGTGGACCCCCTGTGGGGCTGCTTCCAGGTGGGTGGGTGCGGATTTTGGAGGACTCTCCAGCCTACTACATATGTCCTGGGTGTGTATTTTGAAAACAGAACTCACAGAGTTTGCTGGTGAACTGGTTGTGGACTGAGAAAAGGAAGTCCAGGGAGGTTCTAAATGTGAGGGCTAGAGCAAGTAAAGAAGAGGGGAACTGGTGGCTAACATCAGAGTTAGACTAGGGGAGTCAAGTGATGAGCAGGTTGGCCAGGGCAGGAGCTTGGCTGGGTGTGGCAGGCTAAGTGGGCCTTAGGACATCTATGCCTGGTGCCCAGGGCACGGTCCTGGCTGGAGGCATCATCCCATGTAGGTCAGGCGCAGCACTGTTTTAGGTTGGTGTGGAATAACAGGGTCCTTAGCCTGGGCAGCGCTAGCCCCTGTCCCAGTCCCCACCCTTGCTCCCACCTAGCAAAGGAGTTGAACACAGATGCTGCCTCTGGTCATTGTGGCCACAGACACAGGCCGGACAGCCAGCTCAACCAGTCTCCCTTTGTCCTTTTTGAGGCTAAGCACTTTATAGTGCTTATATACTGCTTACCAGTAGTACAGTCAGAGAGTTCCAGAAAAGCAGAAGGAAGAGCCTCTTGCACTTGGGCACGAGGAAGCATGCTCCAGAACATCGGTAGCCGCTTCATTCCATATTCTTGAAGGCCAGAAACAACGTACACATCCATCTGTCAGCAGGAACAGGGAAGCATATGGGGCATCCGTACAGTGGGGCTCTGCTCCACCGTAAATATGGACAGCTGCCAACACACGCAGCACGACTCCTCTTTCATGCTAAGCAAGGGAAGTCAGACACGAAGGACACATGATGTGTCTATCACATGTGTATATCGAGAGGGTAGGCCCAGATCCTCCTTGTGTGGTTCAGAATCTCTGCCCTACAGCATAGGAGCTGTGTTACTTCAGGAAATGGTTAAACCACTCTGTGCCTCAGTTTGCTCCCCTGCCAAATGGGGAGGTATTTTGTGGATTGATGAGTTAATACATGTAAAGCATTTAGAACAGCATCCAGCACACAGTAAATTCTGTATATGTCCTTATATAAGGACATCATTGTAACGCTTTAGGATATCATTGTTGTCATTCATGTCAGATGTACTCTGATTAACTGCACTGATGCCCACAGCTGGAGATGTGGATATAGACAAATCTTGTTATAGAAATCCTGGCAGCAGATCGTAAGTATTTACTTTGGCTAAATTCTCAGACTTATATACAGGCATAAAGCTCTGAATACACTTTACCAAACTCTATCCAGAAAGATTTGGGTCTGCACCCCCATCAGCAAGTCAGAGAGGATTTGTTCTCAGGCCCTTGCTAAGTTCACATGTGTTTTTTTGTTTGTTTGTTTATTTGTTTTTACGTTTTGCCAGTGGAGGAGTGAAAGATTAGCTCTCATTTGAATTAGTGTTTCTTCAGTTACTATGAGGGCTTCCCAGGTGGTGCTAGTGGTAAAGAACATGCCAATCCAGGAGATACAAGGGACTTGGGTTCTATCCCTGGGTCAGGAAGCTCCCCTGGAGAAGGGCATGGCAACCCACTCCAGTACTCTTGCCTGGAGGATCCCATGGATAAAGAAGCCTAGCGGACTACAGTCCATAGGGTCACAAAGAGTCGGACACAACTGAAGCGACTTAGCACTCACAGTTAACTACGAAGGCAAGCATTTTCTCGTATCTGTTGGCTACTTGTTTCTTATGAGTAGCTTGTTCACACATCAGTTCATTCTGTTTTACTTGGATGTTCAGCTTTTGCTGATGCGTTAAGATTTCTTTATAAATACGGGTGTTGAACTTTTGTCCTGTGTTTTCCAAATATCTTTTCCTAATTTTTTCATCTGAATTTGCTTTTCAGTGATTGCTGTTGTTCAGTTGCTAAGTCATATCCAATGCTTTGTGACCCCATGGACTGCAGCACTTTAGGTTCCCCTGTCCTTCTCCCAGAGTTTGCTCAAATTCATGTCAATTGAATCAGTGATGGTATCTAACCATCTGATCCTCTGCCACCTCCTTTTCCTTTTGCCTTCAGTATTTCCCAGCATCAGAGTCTTTGCCAACGAGTTGACTCTGCATCAGGTGGCCAAAGTGTTGGAGCTTCAGCATCAGTCCTTCCGATGAATATGCAGGGTTGATTTCCTTTAGGACTGACTGGTTTGATCTCCTTGCAATCCAAGGAACTCTCAAGAGTCTTCTCCAGCACCACAGTTCAGAAGCATCAATTCTTCAGTGCTCAGCTGTACAATATTGTTCTTTCCAGCTTTGGACTTTACTTTCACCACCAGACGCATCCACAGCTGAGCGTCATTTCTGCTTTGGTCCAGCCTCTTCATTCTTTCTGGAGTTTTCAGTAATTGCCTTATGCTCTTCCCCAGTAGCATATTGGACGCCTTCTAACCTTGGGGGCTCATCTTCCAGTGTCATACCTTTTTGCCTTTTCATACTGTTCTTGGGGTTCTTGTGGCAAGAATACTGGAGTGGTTTGCCATTTCCTCCTCCAGTGAACCACTTTTGTCAGAACTCTTCACTAAGACCTGTCTGTCTTAGATAGCCCTGCATGGCCTGGCTCATAGCTTCATTGAGTTATGCAGGCCCCTTCTCCATGACAAGGTTGTGATCCATGAAGGAGTTTTCAGTTATTAGGGAATAACAAAAGTTTGTGTTGTTTACTTTTCATGAAATCACATCTGTCAATCTCTTTCCTTCCTTTTTTCCCCCCTTGATTCTGCCTTTTAAGCTGCACTTGGATAATAGTTGTCCTTTTGCTTTTATTGTCTTTAGATGTGTGTTTCTTTTATCAACACCATGGTCTCAGCACCTCTAGATTTCACTTAATGTAGGGATTACACTTTGACCACATGGATGCCACTGACATTTGTCTGGGTGACTGTCTGACCTTCTCCAGAGCACATATGGTCGTTGGGTCAGATGAGGTCTACTGCCAAGCCCTCCTGCCAAGCCCCTGCCCCCAAGGGTGGGGTCCTCACGTTGTCTCCCCTCTCTTCTCTCCTAGGCATGTGTGTGCAAATGCAGCAGCCCCTGCAGGGCACCTTCCAAGTACTTCGTGGGGACGGCACTTCTGTGGGGACTGTCATCATGTTCCACTGCCCCTCGGGCCACCAGATGGTGGGGTCTGGCCTCCTCACCTGTGCCTGGAAGGGAAACATCGCTGAGTGGTCTTCAGGGACCCCCATGTGCAAGAGTGAGGCCCATTCTACCTGAGCTGCCCCCAGCTCAGCAGTGCCCCCTGGGGAGAGTGCTGATTTTGTCACATGGGTGGCATGGGTGTCCACAGAGAAGGTTCCATGGGCGTCTGTATAAGGTCCTGTTCCCAGGGCTGGTGGTCACTTGGGGCTCCATGTCTGCAGTATAGACTCAAGTTCTAGTAGTTGCTTCAGATTCTAGCACTGCCACTTACTTGGCCTGTCATCTCCAAGAGGTGACTCATGCGTCTGAGCTAGCACTTTATCTGTTAAGCAGAAAACTGCATTCATTCATGTGTTATTTCATGCACAGATTCAGCAAAGCTTAATAGGATATTCCATGTGCCAAGAATTCTAGGACTGGGGAATGGGATTGCCTGGCTGTGGGGCTCAGTCTGGAGGAGGAGATGGTTTTCTGTATTTGCTCTACAGGGTGTTGAAGAATAATACTTAGCACAGCATTTTCCAAAGTGAGGCTACGTATGTTGTGTTAATGTGTATTGTGCATTGAAAAAGGCTCTGTAGTCAATATAATTCAGAAAAGACTGGGTTAACAGGCTGCAGGACTTCTCAGAGCCTTTAAAATACTCCTGTGGTGGTTGAATCTCTGAGAAGGAAAGTGTCTCTTAGGATTAGACTCCAACAAGAGATAGAAAACCCAAGATAATGAGTTACCAAAGTAATGGGGGATTATGAGAGGTTTTTCTCGCCTCTGGCCCTCAGGATGGGCGGTCCTAGGCCTGTATAGTGCCCCCTGGTGGGGACCCAGGCTCTTTCCATATTGTGGGCATGACCTCAACTGCATGATCCATGGAGTTGTTACAGGATTAGTTGCAGGGCAAGAAAGGCTCTTAGAGTTGTCCCACACCCCTGCCCCACTGTTCACCACTGGCCAGGATGTGGTCATGTGAAGGGAAACTGTAGTAGTCTTCAGTCAGGATGGCCAGTGTCCAGTTAGGCCAGAGGGACTAGGAAATGGAAAGCGTGATCCATATCTACTACATGGGAAAATATGCAATGTTGTTCAAATTAGGATTCTGGGCCTCAATTTCGAGAACGTCCTTTAGAACCTGATAGAACTAGTACTCGGCACATAGCTGATAATGTGCCAAAGGCCCTTTGACCCCAAACACTGGTGTTTTCCTTTTTTCCACACCTTCCTAGAAAGTGACCTAAGAAGGCACATAGGCCCCCAAAGGGTTTTGCCAGCTTGCAACATTGTGAAAATAGACCATGTGTTGTCTACTGTTCTCTGGTCTCAGGAGTCCAATCTACAGGGGATGGAGCCAAAGAGACCATCACTGAACTCCCTGTCAGAGCTTCCCCCCAGTATGCCACCCAAAACTCCTACACACTCACCAAAACCCTGCTTAAATACCCGCTTCTTGGGGGCAGTCTTACCAGGTAGCCCTACCCCTACAACAGTTTTCACAGACCTTCACCTCATCTGTCAGTAGCTCCCTGGCTTCCCCGTGGAACGGGGCTCCCTGAGGGCAGGCTGGGCCCAAGAGCTGGTCTTGTCTCCCTCACAGCTGTGCCCCCCTACGAAACCTTTGGCTTCAAGGTGGCTGTGATTGCCTCAGTCATCAGCTGCGCCATCATCATGCTCATGTCCATGGCCTTCCTCACCTGCTGCTTAGTGAAGTGTGTGAAGAGGGGTGAGCAGCGGCGATCCGACAGGTACAGTGACCTGACACCTGCCGGGCACTTCGGGACCCCGAGGGGTGTCAGGGAGCGGGGCTGCTGCGATCGTGGCCTCTTGCTGTTCACAGAGCATCTAGGCCGTGGGGGGTACATGGCTCACTTGTCTGGTCTTTTGTAAGACAGGTGACAGGGACATGGGGGCCCTTCTCATTCTGCAGACTGTGCACACCCCCAGTGTGTGCTCTGCTGTGTGTGGACGTGCAGGGCTGACCGCACGAGGGGCCTGCAGGTGGAGTCTGACTCACCTCTACTTTTCTTCGCAGAAATTTACCCTGTTTTGTGTGTGTGTGTGTGTGGAGGTGGGTTTTGTGGGGTATTTTTTTTTAACTGTGGTAAAATATTTACAACATAATAAAAGTTACCATGAGAAGCATCTTTCAGTGCACAATTCAGGGGTATTGGTTATATTCACAGTGCTGTGTCATCATTGGCTTGATTCATCTCAAGAACTTTCCACCACCTGTCTTTGTATGTGGTTTTTCTGGCACTTACTCATCACCCATGACTGCCTTCTCCCTACAGCAGCAGAAGTGTCCAGCCTTAAAATTCTCACTCTTGGCCTTGCAGAAGCTTGCAGGACACGCTTGCACCTGAATGTCTCTCCCCCATCTCTCCCCAGGGCAAACCAACTGTGGCTCCAGCTGAGAGGCGAGGATTTGGAGACGATGCAGGCTCCCTACCTCGGCCTTAAGGGCGTCAACAGTGACAGCAGCATTAGTGGAGGGTCCAGGATCCAGCCTGTCCAAGTGCACGACAATCGCAGCTTCACCACGTGGGCATGGGCAGGGCAAGGAGGGTGGCAGGGCAGTGATAAGGGCGGGGTGGGAGGTGCCTGGCTTGGCCAGAGAACCTGGACACGACACCAAGGGTACTCACAGTCTGCACATGCTGTGAGTCCAGGCCCACCAAGGCCTCGACTCCCATCTGTCAGACGAGCTGATGGTCCTTCTGCAACCTGTGCCTGACCGTGTACCCTAGTACCTGGAGCTGCCCTCCAGTCCGTGTCTTTATCTTGTCACCCCGTGTCCAGAGAAGGAAGCTTCCGGAAATGAATATTACCCTTCACCAGGACCCACAGGGCCCTGTCAGTTTGCTCTGTCTTCCCATCTCTCTCCCTGCCCCTCTGTCTCTCCGTTTCTGTCTCTCCTTGTCTCTCTTTCAAAACACACAGACACACACTTTTTATGAACTAATTCAAGGACATTTTTTACATACTTTTTTTTGACTCAAGGAGTCTAATCTTGGCTGAATGTGGACTGCAGATAGAACATCGCCCAGTGTTTTTACCAGCTTTGAGTGAACACCCTCTGTCCCAGGGCTTCCCGGTGTCTGGGCTCCTTTAATCGGACAGGATGTTTGTCTTTGGTGGTGATTCCCTTGGCACACTCAAGGCCAGTCAGTGGTCTCCTACAGACTGTATTCTGGACTGTCTTGGCATTCCTGCATGACTCACTTGGGCAGCATTTCTGGTGCAGGTGCCCCGTGACTGGTACTGGTGTGAATCATGGATGTAGGCTGGGCTATGGCCCTGAAGGCATGAGGTCTGGGCCCTCTTGGCTGAGATGAGCCCGTTGTCAAGTGACAAAGACAGGATTCTGCTAAGGGTCACTCTGCTGCCCCCATGACCCCTGACCTGTAGCCTTAGCATCCAGGGATGATCCAGCCTGAATCAGTTTTGGCCCTGGGGGTTATGGAATAATTATTTTAATTCCATTGTGATTCTGTTATTCCCTCTCTGAGGAATGAAGATGGATTTTGTCTTATCCTTCCTTTCCTTTTCATTTTGTTTTGTTGTTTTTGTATCACTCTGAACTCATAGGTATTCTTTTCTCAAACTTTAAAAAAAATTTTTATTTATGGCTGTGTTGGGTCTTCGTTGCTGCGCGGGAGCTTTCTCTAGTTGTAGCAAGTGGGAGCTACTCTTTGTTGCAGTATGCAGGCTTCTCTTTGTGATGGCTCCTCTTATTGCGGAGCGTGGGCTCTAGGCTTGCTGGCTTCCGTAGTTGCAGCACCTTCTCTCTCGCACAGGATGTTCTGGCCCATTGAGTGCTTTCTCTGCCCCTCCCTGGCATCGCAAAGTCAGTTTCTGCTCATTTCCTTGGTCCATCCCCCCAGGAACCTCCCAGGGAGCCCATTGCTTGAGCCTGACACCTCTCTGTGTGACAGCTGCTCATGCCTTGTTTTCCAGCCTTGTACAGTGAGGATTATGGTGGGCCTCACTTCTTGGCCCTGTTGAGGTGATACAGGTCAATGGGATTCGACTGGGCCTGGAGTACAGTTTCAGTGAGTGCCAGCCGTTGTTGTTAATTCTTCTCTTGTCCCTGGTACGCACGTGAGGAAACTGAGGTGCTAGAGGTGGTGGCCTGTGCAGGAGTAGCAGGGGCCTGTCTGATCCCACGTCCACACTCAAAGTGCTGGGGCTGGCTGACTCCTGGAGTGGTAAGGCCTCTGGGAAGGAATTGACCTCCTACCTCCTTTCCTTGAACTTCGGACACACGTTAGACATACATGGTGGTGGCCATGGCAGGAATGCCGCCTTGCACCCTTTCCACCTGACCTGACACGTTGTGTGGCCGTGGTGGTCTGAGGCCCCTGGAGCTTCACTCCAAACACTTCAGGTGCTGTGCTCAGGTTTAGGCAAATGCCTGTACTTAGAGCTGTTTTTCTTTTTTGAGATGGTGTTTTGGGACGATCCTAGGAACAGATTGTTTAGGTCAAGTAAGTCTGAATATTTTTATTACCATATTCTTTCTCCAGGAACCCAGCACCAGTTGAGCCATTTTTACAGCTAACCATTGCCAAACGTTAATGATTTGTTTTCCATCACTTCCCTAGCAAGTGTGAGTTACATCGGTGGCTTTCATCAGCACTTATTTGATTAATATTGAGAAAGAGCATTTTCTCCTGCCTTTTGCTTACCAGTCGCATTGCTGGCTTTAGACATTTTTGGTTTGTTCTGCTGAATTGCCTGATGTTTTTTCTCATCAGTACTGGAAGCGCCATGTACATTGTAGAAGAGATCCTTACCCATCAGCCAGCTGCCAGCACTTTCCTTTTTGTTTCAGTTATTTTCAGATTATGTTCAGGATATATTGGTAGTGCATATCCTTTTCATATAGTCACATTTCCTTGGCAGGTTTCAGAGCCTCTCCATTACACCCTGCCCTGTGACACCCTCTCCCCATTATAGACCTGTGACATACTGTCTGGTGTCTCAGTTGGGAAGAGCCCCAGTGGAATAGGGGAAGGAATTGTTGCATTTCAGGATGTACCATCCTAGGCAAGGCCTAGATGCCCCAGTTCTCCCACTGATTGGTGGTGAAATCATCTTTAGTAAGGTGAGGTTTGCCCCTTGACCTTACTTTTCTTTCATAAATGCTTCTCCGCACTCACATTGTGCCAGGCACTGTTCTAAGCTTTTCCAAACATTACTTGTTCTAACCGTAGGAGTAGGGACTATTTTTTTATCCCATTTTGAGAAACTTGTCCAGAATAACACAACTGCTAAGCATGAAGCTAGGTTTGAAGTCAGCTCCAAAGTCTAGCTCCAAAGTCAGTGGACTTGCTTACTAAGCTGATTTTCCTTTCCGCTAGTTAGTTTATTCACTCACCTATTCATTGAACCAACAGGTGATGTAATTCCTATTACTTCTTAGAGCTTTCCTGAGAACTAGATGTGGGTAGGAACAGAAATCTGGGAAAGCTTCCTGGAAGAAGTGGTGCCTGAGGTGAATAGATTGGGAGAGCCTGTATTGGAGAGGAGAGAGAGAGCATCTTAAGGGGAAGAAGTAGCCAGGCAGCCTCAGGAAGCAGAAACCAGTGTAAGTGGGTGGGAGCAGGGCCAGGTGGACAAAGGTGGGGGCCAGGGTTTGCTCAGCTTGGAAATTGGGTGGGTTTGTGGCTTGGGGGCTAGAGGAGGCCACAAGGGAACTGAAGATATAGAAGGTAGGAGATCTGGCCCCAGAGTGCCAGAGGAGAGCTTGGCAAGAGTGAGGGTGTCCTCCAGAATGTTCCTGGGACCCCAGTGTCCCTTCTCTGCCTAAGGCATGCTGTTTCCACATAGTTTACACTCTGAAAAAGCTTCCTTCCTCTAGAAAGCCCCAGGAAGGTGAGCGTGCTGCCCCTTCAGTCATCCCTCTTGTATGAAGGAGGGACTTGAGGCTCAGTGAGAGGCACCTATGGAGGGGCCTCCTTGGGTGCAAGGCAAGAGAAAACAGGGGCCCTCACCTTGGGGCGGCAATCTATTCCAGACCCATTGCAGACCAGGGCCTGCGTACCCAGCATGGGGGCAACGTTGGAGTTAAATGGAGTCCTCACTGTTCCCCCAAGCTCACCCTTCCTTTTCCTGCAGAGACCTTGGCGAGGGTACCAGAGAGCTGGCCAGCGTGGCCCGAGGCATGGACAAGGACTTCTGGACCGCTAGTGGCCCCACCAGCTCACCCCATGCCCAGGTGATGGTGCATACAGCAAACCCAGGGCAGATCCTGCCTCCCTCCAGGCCAACTGTGATGCTCAGACAGCCTGCAGCCTATGTCCCAGGGTGACCAAAGCAGAGACCAGAGCCTGCCCTCCACAGTGGGAAGGCCAGGACGACCCTACCAGCTGACACCTGCATCTCGACATGTGTCCAGGTCAAGATTGGTCAGTGAAACCAGCTTCCAGGCTTAGAGATCCCTCAGAGCATTGAGTTGGGGACCCTCTCAGGGGGTGACCTGTCCCAGGGGAGCCCAGCCATAGCTGTTTTTATAGACAGGGCTCCTTGAAACCACCACTGAGGTTCACAAAACCAGCTGCAGCCTCCCTCTAGTGAGGCTCCTTTGAAGAGACTGGAGGACATTTTAGGCACGTCTAGTTTTGCACAGCAGAGTGGAGGAGATGACAGCAGACTCCTCAACAGTTACAGCTGGCTGCCTTGTACCTACAAGCAGAGACCCAGCTGGGATGCTGCATCCATTATCTGTAAAGTTGTGGTAAGGGGTATGAAATAAACAATTCTTTGAAAAACAATAAAGGTAAGAATTACTGTCTCAGTTTTCAATCCCTGTGTAACGGAGCCTCCAGTAGCAGCATAAAACTGTAGCTTCTCGTTATTACAGCCTGGGATTCCAGGACTGCTGGGCTCTGCTGGCTCCTCCCGTGTGCTTGTGGTCAGCTGGATTGCTGCCAGGTGTCCCCAGAGACCCACGAAGTGGTGACCACCTCGAGTGGCCAGGCCTCCTCACATCACGGCAGCTGGTTTCCACAGTGAGAGTCCCAAGTGCAAACCTTACCTTTCAGGGCCTCCGAAATCACCCTCGGTCACTACTTCTGTGTTTCATTCAATGAGGGGAGGTACTTGGACTCCACTTCTCTCCTGAACCAGTTGAAATCTGACTTCCAGCCTTCTGAGATTTGGGGTGTGATCTGTCTGGCCATTGAGGAACCTCACTGGTGTTTGTTCTCTGAACTTTCCTGCTTCCTGGAGGCCCTGCAGCCATGCTGAGGATGTAAGGAGAAGAGCCTGACGAAGAAGAGCTGGTGGTCCTGAAAGAGCCTGTGCTACCCTGAAGCCACGTTTGTCATGGTTTCCGTCACTAACAAATACATCTTGATACAGGTTACACGGGGCAGTCCATCTGTCCTGCCTCCAGCAGGGGGCACTTGGGTGGTTCCACATTTTCAGCTGCTACATTGGTGCCAACATCCTTTCTGGTCTGGGACGCTATTCCATCATGTGGCTTCCAGTGAGGAACTCTGAGGCCAGAAGGTGTGTGTGCTTCTCCAGTGAGGAGAAGGTCATGCAGGGGGCACTGGAGGGCAAGCCCAGACCCAGCCCTCAACCAGATAGTGCAGCATTCATGCTATGGAGTCCCTGGTAGACTCAGGCCCTCTCCAGCTTTTCTGGGAGGGGCAAGTAGTCGCCCTCAGCTCTGTGCCTCCAAGGGTCCTGTGGGCTCAACTTTGTGGGGCCAGACAGGGCTGGAAGGTCCGCCCTGATCCTGCAGAGTGCCTTCAACAGGAAGTGGGTGCTTTGTCCCCGGTGCCTGGACCTTGGGCTACTGGAGCAGAGGACAGGAGGGATGGGGTGAAGTGGAGCCAGGAGGATGGCGCCACCCTGCTCCAGCTCCCAACAGCTGAGAGTTACAGGAATAGGTGTCCAGAGGGCCACAGGGTGCTGCAGGGGTGGGAAGGAAGTGACGTGGTGCCCAGATGGAGAGAGTGCTGGCTGAACCTCAGAGTCATTGCTCAGGAGAGCTAGAGGGGCATGAGGCCTCTGGGGTGCAGCACGCTGGACCCTGACCTGTCTACACCAAGGCCAGGAGTCTTAGCTGGATTAGGAGACAAGCTTGCCAAGGAGCAGAAAAAGAGCAACATTCTTTCACAGGCGTTTTAGAACAGAGGGCTTCACTTAGCACCAGAGGAGAAGCGGAAGGGGGAGCCAGCCCCAAATCTCCCCTAAAACCAATTCCAACTTTTACTGGGAAGAAAGAGGAGTGAACACCTTTTCTTGCTTACCAGGCTTAACCCCCCATGGACAACCCTTGGTACCTGCAACACTGCCCTTATAGGCCACATGGCCCACTGCCACACTTGCTTTCTTGGCTCAGGAAACATTTACCACTTTTTATATCAGCATGGGTGAGACTATGCTGCTGAAACTGACAGCCCCTGATTCAGTCAGCTCAGGCAGCTCTAATACCACAGAACGGGTAGTTTAAACAATATAGATTTATATCACACAGTCCTGGAGGTGAGAACTAAGTGCTGGCTGATTTGTTTTCTGTTAGGGGCTCTCTTAATGGCTTGCAGATGGCCGCCTTCTTGCTGTGTCCTCACGTGGCCTTGGAGTGTGTCCAGAGAGAGGGAGACAGTGCTTTCTCTTGTCTCTTCCTAGGATACTCATCCTATGGGTCAGAACCACAACGTTAAGACCTTGTTTTACCCTAGTTCAGTTCAGTCACTCAGTCATGTCCAATTCTTTGTGACCCCATGAACCACAACATGCCAGGCCTCCCTGTCCATCACCAACTGCTGGAGTCTACCCAAACCCATGTCCATTGAGTCAGTGATGCCATCCAACCATCTAATCCTCTGTTGTCCCCTTCTCCTCCTGCCCTCAATCTTTCCCAGCATCAGGGTCTTTTCAAATGAGTCAGTTCTTTGCATCAGGTGGCCAGAGTATTGGAGTTTCAGCTTCAACATCAGTCCTTCCAATGAACACCCAGGACTGATCTCCTTTAGGATGGACTGGTTGGGTATCCTTGCAGTCCAAGGGACTCTCAAGAGTCTTCGCCAACACCACAGTTCAAAAGCATCAGTTCTTCAGTGCTCAGCTTTCTTTATAGTCCAACTCACATCCATACATGACTACTAGAAAAACCATAGTCTTGACTAGACAGATCTTTGTTGGCAAAGTAATGTCTCTGCCTTTTTAATATGCTGTCTAGGTTGGTCATAATTTTCTTTCCAAGGAGTAAGTGTCTTTTAATTTCATGGCTGAAATCACCATCTGCAGTGATTTTGGAGACCCCCAAAATAAAGTAAGCCACTGTTTCCACTGTTTCCCCATCTATTTGCCATGAAGTGATGGGACAAGATGCCATGATCTTAGTTTTCTGAATGTTGAGCTTTAAGCCAGCTTTTTCACTCTCCTCTTTCACTTTCATCAAGAGGCTCTATAGTTCTTCTTCACTTTCTGCCATAAGGGTGATGTCATCTGCATATCTGAGGTTATTGATTTCTCCCAGCAGTCTTGATTCCATCTTGTGCTTCCTCCAGCCCAGAGTTTCTCATGATGTACTCTGCATATAATTTGAATAAGCAGGGTGACAATATACTGCCTTGACGTACTCCTTTTCCTATTTGGAACAAGTTTGTTGTTCAATGTCCAGTTCTAACCATTGCTTCCTGACCTGCATACAGATTTTTCCAGAGGCAGGTCAGGTGGTCTGGTATTCCCATCTCTTTCAGAATTTTCCACAGTTTATTGTGATCTACACAGTTAAAGGCTTTGGCATAGTCAATAAAGCAGAAATAGATGTTTTTCTGGAACTCTCTTGCTTTTCTGATGATCCAGTGGATGTTGCCAATTTGATCTCTGGTTCCTCTGCTTTTTCTAAATCCAGCTTGAACATCTGGAAGTTCACGGTTCACGTATTGCTGAAGCCTGGCTTGGAGAATTTTGAGCATCACTTTACTAGCGTGTGAGATGAGTGCAATTATATTGTTTTACCTAAGCACTTCCTTAAAGGCCCACCTCTGACACATAGCCACAGTGGGAACTAGGGCTTCAGTATATGGATTGAAGGGAATAAACACTCAGTTCATAACAACCCCCTAAGTCTCAGGGGCTCAAACAGCGTCATTTACTCCTTGCTCGGATGTGTGTCCAGTTCAGTCAGCGGGGGCTCTGCTCAGCGGAGTTGTCGGGTCCTCACCTAGTGGAGCAGCCCTATCCAACTTCCACCTCCACAATCTCCAGGAACAAGAAGGGATGCTGGAGCCTCTTTCACCAGCAGTGGAGGGGACACACCTCACTTCTGTGTAGGACATGTCAACCAGACTGACCTCAGGGCCCAGCAGGGTGACTCTCCGGGCTGTGCAGAAGAAGAGGGAGCAGGTACAGACAAGAGTCCCACCAGGGCTACCATGTCATCCTGCATCAGCTCTTTAACATTTGGTGCTGATGAGATCCACGGTTTTCAGTTGCTATGACAGCTACTTTATCAGAGAAACGCCAGCCAGCCCTAAATACTGGAGCAGCACCATTCTTGTCACCAGAAGTAGCTGTGAAGAATCAGGCTGTGATGACCCAAGGGAGACTTCATTCCACATCGGTTGGGGCACAGCAGTTGGGGAAAAAAACAAAACAAAACTGTGCCTCATATTGATTCCTCAACAATTTGGTTAGCTGTGTGTCACATTTATGCACTGCTGGATAGTGAGTCATCCCAAAACTCGGTGGCTGTAAACCACAGCCGCCAAGTTGTCATCTCTCTTAGTGCTGTGGGTTCTTGCAGGCGTCCCTCCCCCACTGCTGCAGTTAGCAGGATCCAGGCCTGAGATCTCCTAGAGGTGTTCGTTCACTCACTCAGTTTAGTTGACCCTAGTTGTTTGGGACCTCAGCTGGGACTCTGGGTAGAAACACCACACATGGCCTGAGTATTCTTTACAGGTGGGGGCTGGGATTCAAGGGTAGCTGTCCCAGAAGTGGGAAGTGGGGGCCGTTGGTTTCCTATGGCCTGGGCCCAGACTATTGCCAAGCAGTCCTGAGGCAGGAGATAGATGGGCTCCAGGATAGGTATTTATAACTGGCCTCCTATTCACACCTCCTGGGGTGAGAAGAAGTTGAGTTCCAGGTAGGATATTCATAACCAGCCCCCTGTTTACATTTGCTGAAGCAAGAGACAAATGGGCTCCAGGATGACATATTTATCACTGGATTCCTGCCTATATTTTGAGATCTATACCTCGATATAAAGACCAGCAGAGGAATAGAGTAAATAACCAGACATTGGGCATTTTTATGGCAGGGACAGTGGGACTAAACCCTCTTAAAAGATCA